ATCTCCCCGGCCCCTTGTTAATCTAACTTCTAGTGCATACGGGCAGTGGCAGCACCTGCACCCAGCTCCCTGCTCAGCCAGGAGCTCTGTGCAGACAGCCCTGCACTGCTGGCAGGAGGGCTGAGAAGCAGGACCTGCACACGCTGGCCCCCGCTGCCCACGCGGGACACCAACCCAGGGCCTCACGCACGTAGGTCAGCCCCAGTGCTGAGTAACCTTTTTGTTTTGTTTTTGGGGATAGGGTCTCCCCACATAGTCCAGGCTGGCCTTGAAGTCACCATGGAGACCAGGCTCACAAACTTGCAGCAATCCTCCCGCCTCAGCCTCCTGAGTGCTGGGAGCACACCTGTGCTCCACCACACTAGGCTACATGGCAAGTGTCCTTCATTCCAGGTTACCAGAGATAGCCAGAGACCCTCGTGACGCAGGACTAGCATTAACTTTCTTGTCCACATCCCTTGTCCCTCACATGCCCTTTCTCTCCCTCTTTGACTGTAGAGGTGGCAGGCAGGCAGAGCGTTACGGAGAAGAGATCAGTTTTTCTTTCTCTAAATCCGCTGGCTTTACCCTCACAGGTTGTGCCTTTCTTCTCTGCATCAGAGTAAAATCTACCAAAAATTCACGCTAAATGCCTCTTCTAAGACCTAAATGCCAGAGCTGAGGCCATGAGACTCCCGAAACAGAGCATCTGATGTTCTGTGATGTCAGATCTGTGAATGGAGGAAGTGAGGGAGAATTGCTGATGTTTCTACAGGCAGAAGATGAGGAATGAAGAGCCAAAATAAAACGAAAAGCACCATGGAAGTCAGGCTGAAGGGCGTTTGAGGGACGCGGTGGTTGCTTTAGTTTTGTTTTGTTTATTGAGATAAGATCTTGCCCTGTAGTCCAGGCTGGCATCGAACTATGAGGACCCTCCTGCCTCAGCTTCCCAAGGGCTGGGATGACAAGTATGCCTCATCCGGCCTGCCTAGGAGGGCATTTGGAGGCGTGGCGGCGTGGAGGCTGGGGAGGACTACAGCAGGAGGAGACGTTGGATGCCCCCTCCTGCCCTGCCCAGTGCCGGCCCTGGGCATGTGGCCGTCAGAGCACGTCTGCCCTGTCCTCTTCCTAGCGCTCCCAAGGCTAGCTGAACTCCCTCACCCCATGGCTGTCAGGAAACGGCTTCTCTTCCTCAGATTCCTGGTGACGCCAGGGACTCCTCCAGCCAGAGTCAGGCAGACGTCAGAACCCAGGGCCTCTGGAGGGGCCTCGGACCCTCCACCTTCTCCTAGGCCCGGCTGCCTCTCCTGCAGGTTCTACTTCAACCAGCACCTGCAGTGGAATATTCCATAGCGCCGAAAATGTTCTCTATTCTAAGGATTTGATTAACAGTTGATCAAAAATATTCAAATCGGCCAGGCGTGGTGGCACAAGTCTGTAATCCCAGCACTGGGGAGCCTGAGGCAGGAGGATCACTGTGAGTTCAAGACCAGCCTGAACTCCATAGTGAGTTTAAGGCCAGCTTGAGTTACATAGAGAAACCCTGTCTCAAAAAGAAAAAAAAAAAAAAATAAGTCCCTGCACAGAGCATGTACTAACACTTCTTTTTCTTGTCAGGATTTTCTAAACAGTCAAGTGTGGTGGTATAAACCTATAATCCCATTCTGGGAGTTCTGGGAGTCTAAGGCAGGAGGGTTCCAAGTCTAAGCCCTGCCCAGGCAATTTAGCAAGACCTTGTCTCAAAATAAAAAATGAAAAGGCCCTGGGTTCAATCTCCAGTGTCGAAAAAGAATCTACTGGGCTGGGGATATAACTCAGTAGAATAAGCGCTTGCCTGGCAAGCAGAGTCCTGAGTTCAATCCCCAGGACTGAAAAAAAAAAAAAAAAAGAAAGAAAAAAAAAAGAGTCTACTATGAGTTAACAATACAGGGTGTGGGTGTGGTGGTGGCGTATACTCGTAATTCCAGCACTTGGGAGGCTGATGCGGGAGGATTGGCACAAATCTGAGGCCAGCCTGGGCTACACAGTGAGAACCCTGTCTCGAGAACAAAAACAGAGGGATGGTGGTGGTGATAGGGATATAGCTCAGCAGCACGGTGCCTGCCTGGTAAGCACAAGGCCCTGGCTCAATTCCTTGTACCCCAAAACAAAAGACCCCTTAAAAAATCCCAAAACAGGGGCTGGAGAGATGGCTCAGTGGTCTAAAGCACCTACTTGAAACAAGCTTGGCAAAGCACAGGGACCGCGGTTCAATCCCCCAGCACCACCCCCTGG